AAAGAAGAAGCAGGCGAACTTGCTCCTTAGTAAGAGGGTAGGGCTGGTTCATGGCTGGAGAGCACCAGGGCTGTAATAATATACGGTTGTATGCCGAAGGACACGACCTACTTATAAACACACGCAGAACATTCTAGCATGCTCTGGAAAAAAATTGTACTGGATATTCAAGAAATTCCGAGAACTTTCTTTCCAATCAGATATACCCATTATGTTCTGAATATCTCGGTCTCTTTTGCAGATCGAGACATTTACGGAACAAGCGTCCATGTCCATCCTGGGATTGATTTCCAATATTGGAGGAATCATGGGGATGTTTTTGGGAATCTCGCTGCTCAGCATCTACGATACCTCCAGAACCATTTCGGTCTATTTTCACAAGCGTTTTACCAATCACTAGGTCCTCTCCTGTGCAGTTGGGCATATTCACGACATTGGACCTTGGACACGTCAATGTATTGATAATAACGGAAGTGAAAGCTGCAATTTCAAGACAACGAATTTAAAGATTTTTAGGAATGCAAGCAAGATTAGCAGCACCTATTGAAATAATTGTCAAGTTTTGTTACATATTTTGCTCTAAAGAATCGCTCTCAGTGAAGTGTGACGTTTTACATAGACATTACATATTAGCCAACAATGAAAAACATTTTTTCTGCATCCGATGGAACGCAACTATGGAAACAAGCATGCTCTCTCGATTCTATTTTTCAAGATTATTCAAGTCATTTGCCACAGTAGCACATAATACTGATTTATTTGATTCAACAACCGGACATTGAATCAACATTCAATTTTGATTCAATGTTATGAGCTACTGGGGTAATTCTTCAAAGCTGGCTCGTGGATGAATGGATCTCTCAATGTTTTTGTGTTGTATTACTGGCCAAGATAGTCAGCTTCTCATAACTGTTTGCAACAATGCATGTCGGCTTTTTCCTGAAGCATTATTCCTCACGGCTCAAAATTCTGCTATTTGATTGCACAATGCATGTGAAAATGTAAGCCAATTCCTCAATGTCAAAGACAAATCCCGACCTGATGAAAGTGAGAATGTTTCCCCATTCGCCGTTCTTCGCCTTCGTCGTGCATTTCACAGTATTTCATGAAATTGTTTCCATTAATAAGACTGATATGTGAGTTCCGATCCACAAAATGAGAAAATAAAAACGTTCTCTATCATGTGGTTCTCATGAGTTCTTTATCATTAACTGGAATCATTAACCGGAGATAATCAAGGAATGATATCATTAGCAAATGCTGAGGATGCCTGTGACTCCCTTCATGCATGTCTGCTAAAGACATATAGGGCGAAACCCGAAATTGGTATTTTTTGGCGTTCGGACGCACTCGAAAATACCAATATATTGATGCAATGCAGAGCAAGGAACCTTTTATTTATTTCATTAGGAAGAGCATGGAAAAATCTTCAAAATGAGTTAAACATCTTCGAAATAGCCCCCATAGGCAGCAATAACTTTTCTGAGGTGTTTTGTAAAATTGTCCACGGTTTCTCGCAGGTGTTTTACAGGGATTTCGTCCCATGCCTTCAACAAAGCCGCCTTGAGACTGTCCAAATTGTACAGTCCATCGTGAGTTGAAACGGAGATCTTTCCTGGCTATTACATCAGGTAACCTAAATTTAGTTCCTTCGTCCTCCCGGTTAGAAGACCTGGTTACCTTGTAATGGCACTTTTCGGTCCAAACGGAACACTTGGAGTCCCGTTTTCTTTCTCTCGAAAGAGAATAGCTCCAGAGTGTGAAAGCGGCGGGATCCCACCTGGGGGGGATAGAACAGGCGGGGCTAATCCTTGGATCACCAGGACGCCGTCGGTCGCGTCGTTGCCATCCCGTTTCCATATTTGTATTTTTCACTGATAGGTTTGCATGAAAGGTGATGGTGATGGACTTTACGGACGATGCAGCCCAGGTTATGATCAAGAGGAGAATGTATCAATCAATGCGAGAACAGGGTTCCGGTCAATAATGGGCTAGAGCAGGTGCTTTGAGAGAGCCAATGAATTTTTGGGCCGTCGAATGAACTCGGGAACTTTTGTCGAAGAGTTCGTGGTAATCTTCCAAGGGTCGACTAGATTATCCATGCTATAACACGACAATTGCATTTGTATACGTAGGCCGCAATTCCTTTTCCAGCACGAATAAGGAACTGAGAGAAATTGATGAAATATGGAGCATTAACGTCTCGCTATGCATATCATATTCGATTTTAATATCAAGGGAGGGGATTACTCCTCTTTCCAAATAAACAGCCTAAATGTCTTCATGTAATCGACAAAGTCATCTCTTTATAGCAGTGGCGGATGCGGGGGGGGGGGGTCGACGGCTGCCCTTATGCTCAGGTTCCCTACCTATTTTAAAACAAGGCCAAACAGAACTGATTTACTTTCTATCGGATTTAAAATATTTTCCTTCTCAGCGAAGATTAGGGGGTGGCAACTGGAGTTGCTTGTGGGTGGCAATTAATCTCAATAGAGATTAGGAGGCGTGAGAAAAACGAATTGCCATGATAACATCTCATCTCACCATTTCTTATCTCAACTTTAATCCTTATTGTCCTCGGATAAGGCATTAAAAATAACATTGCCCATTTTTTCTTCATCCCCATGGAATCACTGCTTCAGTAAAAGTCAGAAACACAACTGCATCATTGTGCCTGTGCCTGGCGTCAGCAATACCTCATCAGGTGCGTCATATTCTTATTACATTCAACAAGACTAGTCATGCAAGGCTGCAGCTACCTTTGTGCTATTTCGATGCACTCGCGGATTCTTTTGCGTGAGTTAGAATTCAGTCCCGCAGAGTACTGCTGCTCAAAACCTCCGAATTAGACAATAAGCTCTCTGTTGCGTAAATACTGTACCATTGATCCTGGAGTGCAATTAGTACCTATGCATATTTATCAGCTTTGAAGTGAATATAATTTGTTAAGAGTTGGCCCCCTTCATAATTGAGAGAAATTACCCCTTATCCGATAGGACAAAGTGATTTCAAGAGGAAGCAAGGCACCCTTCTGAGTTTCGAATTTGAACGTCAAAATTCCGACCCTCGAATCGAGGATCTCAAATCAACGCCTGACTCTTCAATTATTCTGCCTGCGTCAATTATCCACCAAAGCTTAGCAAAATCTCTGAAGCAGACATCGACATTGCAAGTCAAGATATCGGCAGCTATGAAGGTCAGCTACAATGTATTTCAGAGAAACTCAGGTATGAACTGTTGATCAATCATTTATTGCTAAGTATGTGTCCTGATGAACAGGTGCGCCAAAGGTGGACAGCACAGCCAGATTTTATTGAACACCTTAGTGAAGGAACCTCTTACATGTTTTAAGAAGTTGACTGGTAAAGATGGGACTCTTACATCACACGAATGCACTTCTTATCACAGGAGCACGAGTTGTGCTGCTGCCAATTTCATCAGAGCCTGCAAAAATCCTGATCTTAACATAAGAAGACAACTGGATGAACAAAAGCGAATCATTGCTCTTAAGAACAGGAAAATACTTTCTCCTATTGTGGAGACCATCATTCTCTGTGGCAGGCAAAATATCCCTCTGAGAGGTCACCGAGATGATAGAATAATTGAAATTCATGAAAATAATCCATGAGGTGATGGAAACTTCAGGTCTCTTTTGCGATTCGGGGCAAGTGGAGATGCGCTTCTATCTGAACAACTGAAAAATGCAAAATCGAATGCAACATACATCAGCAAGACACTCAAAATGAGTTTATCAGCATAATCGGGAGACATATTCGAGAAAGAACAGTTGCAGATATCCACTGATCCGGTGCATTTGCCGTCATCTTCGATGAGACAATGACCTGAGTAAGACTGAGCAAATGTCCCTCGTTGTTCGGTGCATAAATGATGGAAAAAATTCATGAAGACTTCCTCGCATTCGTAGACTGCTATCGGCCTGGGATTCTGCAGCCGTATACAGAACCCTCGCTGACTGGTAAAGTCCTATGACGAATCGTCACAGGAGAAATTTAAAAGCTGAAGTTGAATTTATGTAATTTGATGGCAGTCGGTACGGATGGTGCATCCGTTATGACATCTATCCCTTGTAGAGCTGTGAAAACCATACAAGAAAACGGCACCAATTGCAGTGCATTCTGTCTGCTCCGGCCACAGTTTGAATTTGACATTAAGTAGAGGATGTGGAATTCCTTTAATAATAAATGTTATGGGAACAATAGCATCTGTGTGCAACTTCTTCAATTCCTCAGCCTAAAGATGGAATGTTTTGGATGACAACCTGCGAAATTGCAGCTGTCACTTGCACTTGATAAATCTTTGCAATATTCGGAGGGTGGAAATGCAAGACTTTTCTCCTCTTCATTGAAGTACTCCCTGGAGTAATTCAGGCTCTATCAGACATCACCATGTGGAGAGATTTTGCTTCAGCGAATTCGGCATTCTCCATGATCAACTCACTAGAAAAATTCGACTTCATAATTGCCCTCTACACTCTAGCTGACGTCTTGACCATCACCCAGGCCATTGCCAGGAGCATTCAAGCGGAGGACATGGATTTAGTCTCTGTGTTTGAGCAACTCCACACATTGAGAGCAACATTGGGAACGTGGCGTCGAGAGGCGGAGACTGCTTTCTGGAAAATCTTTTTAGAAGCTGCAGGTGAGGATCTGAGCCAGTGACAATGCATTCGATCTACTGTATATGCAGGATTTCTCATTTTACATTGGACGCTTTCTTACAGAAAAGGCTGAACTTCTTGGGATTGTCGTGAAGCTACCTGGGACTTCTCAACAAACCAAGCGTTTCAATGCTCCATCGGCATGCTCAGAGGAATATTATCGACGTGCTTTGTTGATCCCGTTTCTTGATGGTATCCTGATGGACTTATCAAGTCGATTCGGTATGGAAAAGAGCAAAATTTGCGAAGTTGTCTCACTTGGTTCCTATCCATTTGATTCAAAGAAGTTTGGCAGTTTTCAAGAGCTATCTATTCGAAAAATGTTATACTATATTTTTCTCTTCTCAATTGTGCTTTCGAACAGAGATACCCATGTCTGAATCGGAAGAGTTGGGAGGTTTTTCCTGGAAACTGTTGAATCCAATCGGACGGTCAGGTTCTGAAACCAAGCTCTTAACCAGAGTTCGAGTTTAACTCATACAAGCCATTGTCGATTCCCTTGGAGGCCCGAGAGTGTAGGCGATAGAGACACGAGCAGTAAGGGGATTACACAGGGGAAATTCATGAAGAAACGGGATTCGAATTACCTCCCCAATTTGATGGGAGAGAGAAGGTCACGCTTTCCCCCTCGTTATGGCATGGACTTGCAACAAATTTCGTTACCATGGCTTACTCAAGTTAGACCGTTGAAGAAAAGCCTTCGCCCATGAAACCCATTCCGAAAGCGACAAATGCATGTCACTCTTGAATTATACATTGCGAGTCCTTGTTAGCGTTCATGAACTACTTAGAGAGTGTAGGGAAATTGCTCTTAGAGTGTTATGTAATATTAATTCAGAACGGGCGGCTCTCCATCGATTAGTGGACACCATTTCCTTAAAGCATTGCCGCCCATGGAAGAAACTCTCTGCATTTTGCCTCGTCATTCCATCGCTTCAACTTCCGAGAGGAAGAATTGAAGAAGTTATTCAATCAGAACCCTTTGGTTTTATTTGCTGAGACTATAGAACATGCATTCATGGAACATGCCTTCAGAGTGAGTGAAAGCGAAAGAAGTGGCGTTCCATTTCCACTTCGAAGTGCATGTTCCGCCCTTTTCCCCATTTCAGAGCATGTCCTGAGATGAGTGGTGGTCTCTCGATACTGGCAGTCCCTGAATTCCAGAAATCGGTTCACTCTCACAAGACATCTGGAGATGGCAAGTTTCCACTTCAATCAGTTGCCAAAGTACAATATCGTCAATTTTCGAATTTCCTACCACAGTTAAAGTATGTTAGTCTCACCTGACGGTTACTCGCGGGTCCAAAATATCACCATAGCCTATGGTGAAACTTTAACAATTGCCTCTTTACCAAAACATGTCAGAGCAAAGTTTCATTATTTCTCCAAAATATAAATACGAGAGTATTTAAGCCATTTCATATCATAATTAAAAAACTTGCATCTGATATGAATGAGGTCCAGTTCTCTTGGCATGAGAACAGAATATTAAGGTCAATAAGAGTACTCATGCATGGTGTTTATCCGAATGCAAAATTAGTTCTCCTGAACCACAAATAGGCTATCGCGAAGACAATGAGTTCATCCAAATTTCTAAAGATGGGTAATTTCATAAAATAGTATTACATAAAGAAGATATTCTTAGTTAACTTTCAAGAGTCACAAGTCATGAGAGTTTAACATTGGACAAAGCCTGCAATACCAAGTTTCCCATGACCTCCCCAGTACAATTCCTAATAAGAAATAGTAAGTCTTCTCTGTGGTTTCCAATGTATTTAAAATAATGATGAATCATATAAGTAATTTAGGCTAGAGCAATCATTGCCCATATTTCTCCTTGAAATACCATCGAGGAAGTCAACATGTATAAAAAGGAAACCCAAGGACTCGCTATGAATTTAAGTTATTGACAATAGGAAGTTTAATAATAGTACATCAGCTCTTGTCCGCCTACTGAGTAAACACCACCTTGTTAATTGGATAAATCCTCATTTATTTTGATGGTCTTGATATCTCTTAGGCACGAATACCAATAGGAAATAAGATCCTCTATTCAATGTGCCACTATCTTTCGATGGCAATCGCATGTATGTAATACTTTCGTCATATCATGGTGTCACTATCACCCTAGAGAATATGATGGGATGCTAATTATAAATCAACCTGCTTTAGTGCTTGATCAATGAACGCATTCTCGAAAAGACACACGGTATATTCCCACAATCATGCATGAGTTCTCTGGGATCTCATGAAATGTGAATTTAATTACTAAAATTAAGAATATATATTTGCATAGTACACTACTACCTTGTCAGAGTCGATCTAAACAAACTCGCAATACTAGGGCCTTCAATGTTCGACAGAGATATAAATACTTTAGTTAATCTGAAAAGTGCACGTATTATTCCCTATATATCAGGTTGTAAAGGTGAAATTTAGACATTTTCCAGAAAACTATTTATTGACAATTAACTCAACAACGACTAGAGTGCAGTCTACGCAGTTACATAGACAACATCCAAGTGCTATTCGTGAGTGCGGGTGTTACGGCACTGGTCACTCTGCTTATACACCTACATAGAAAGTTCTAACATTTTCCAGATTTTTCTAGAAAAAATCGAAATGTCTAAATTTCACCTTTACAACCTGATATAGACTCTAACTTAGTTTTTAAATATGCGCGTAAAACATCTGAAGAAAAAATAAATATGAACAACCATATATCGAAAGTGAGCAACTGCACAATTTAAGAACTTTAATATATTACCATGATTTGAATTCCAAAATATGCTATTTTGATGCAAATACAGTTGGGACACAAGTATGTGTAGGAATGTAAGTATTCTTAGCAATTTCTTGTTTCAACGAAACTGAAAGGTGAATGCAGCTGACAATAGGTAATTCGGCACCTAATGTGATGAATGTTTCAGGAAAAACTTAACTTTTAAGATGCAATCCCCATGTGGAAATGCATTTTTACGAGGGACCTTTTCAGATAGACTCATTCCCTCTACGGCCTCAGCGCCTATAGAAAGTCTTCTCACTGCAAATGTGAAATTAGATGAACGTGGATTCCGGACTTTTTCCTAGGAACATAAAATTGGGATGCAACATTGTCGAGGGCCTTTTAACGGAGAATGAATACATTGCATGAAATTATTATTATTATTATAAACTTATACATGTTATGTTAACGTTGCAAATATTTGGCTGCTGATCACGTCACCCAACCAGAAGCAAGTTGAGGGCAGAATAGAAAGTATTTATAACAAAACGACTTTCATTACATTAATGCCTGGGGCGCCGAATACCCGTTGTCTTTATTACTTCCTATGTACTTCGAGCTCCGAAATCGTAACTATTGCTGTAAGTATTGCTGTATTGCTGAGATTTAGTGCAAAAGTAACATATGTATTCGGTGTTCATAAAACGCTTGCTCTTCGGGTAAATCCCCTTTAGTGAACGTTTATTAGAGCCGTCGCGGGTCATTATCAGGAAAGTGTTCGAAAACAGCAGGAGGAAGAAATAGAGCTACCTGAACATTTTGGTACGCAAGTTTTTATTTGGGTATTACTTACAAGAGAAATATTTAAAAAACTTGGGGGCATTTGAAATTAACCGGAATATTGGAAAAAAGCAGTTCAAACTTAGGATGGTGAATGGGAAGAAGCGATTGGATCATTTCATCATTAGAAGAACGCCTCTTTCGGATGTACTGTAAAAGGTCCTGTAAAAAGAAAAATATCCAAAGTGTATTATTTTGGAGTAAAATAGGAATTCCCCACTTTTGATTAATGATGACAAACTGAAGCTGGTTATATCGTCAACTGAGCGATAGTAATTTGATGGTAGATATGCATTATGCCCAAAATGTTACGATATTCCCATTGTGATTGACCTCTCTTATTGTGTTTGTACTTAAAACGCGGTAAAAATAATTGACAATCCCCTAATTAGTTATTAATAGGTGAAGTTATTGGCATGGTAAGTCTCATTTCTTTACGTTTACTTCGGCAGAAAAGGGGAAATGGATAATTAGTCAAATTAAGCATGAAAATTCACACTCTCCGCAAAGATATCCACCGGCTTGTCCACGTAAGCGTACATAAGGTCATACGTTGAAGCAATACAATGGATTTTTAGGTTGAGAAAAAAAATTCATTCAAGAATGACTGGGCGTGAATAATGCGCTAAAATAATGTTTTGTGAGAATGGTGCCAGTAGAGGACAATAATCAAAATATGCCAATCCCACTGCCTCAGAAACCATGAATAGCAAGCATGAAGCATCATTCCCGCATACTTCAATACCTTACCTTATGTCACAAGTTCCCTTCGTGAATTTTTCAAATCCACGCTATGCATTTTCATCTTTCAAATATTAATAGTGTAATATTCCCGATTAATATATGAATGCTCGAAATCAAGCTTCCCAGATATGAATTATCGACTGCAACATTATTTGCTATTTCAACAGTTAACAAAAGATGGACTCATCAGCATTCCTCAAGGGGGAAAACAATGGGTTTAAGAACTGCGATAGTCCTCTGTATGACCCTCATCGCTGCCTTACAGGTACTCTTTATTTTATCAGATATCCGTATCGCGAATTTCAGCCGGAAATCCCATGCATGTGTTCCTTCCCCCCAGGTGGTTTTGCTGCTTTTGGATTATCTGGCGTTCCCGACCAGCACTTTGTACAAGGTGGAGGCGATGGATGAAATCCCGTCACCAGCCTTCACGATCTGCCCCAGAAATGCCATCAGCAAGTATGGGATGCAACAGGTCATGGTGCGGCCCGGGAATTCTTTCATTCCGACGAATTATGCAAAAAAGAGCACTCAATTCGAAGAGGTTCGCCTCACACTCGATGAGATATTGGGGAATAAGAACGAGTGGAAACGGAGTAGGTGATAATAATTTTCTCTCGTTTTAAAAATGAATGATTATTGGAATTCATGAGGACTGGAATTTCAGAAAGCAACTGGACCCAACGGACCTATTACGATGCCTGGGCGGAGCAATATTACTCATGCTTCACTCTCAACTTGAAAGATCCTTTGACGATTGGTCGGCGGAGTATCTGTGGGGATCAGAAGATGACAGTCGATGATGCTTTTATTTTTCAATTCCAAAAGATGCTGCCCATTCAGTTTCCGTACAGGTCTCATATTGAAGTCTATGTCCACGAGCAGGAGGAACCGTATTCATCACTACCAGTTTTTGATGCATATCAGACAGTGATGTTCAATGATTCAATGGCAGAACTCCTCATCTCATACAGCGTTGTGGAATTCCAAGACAAGAAGGAATTTCCCTGCAGTAGCGAACCGGATCATAGCTACGTGAAAGTAAGATTTCCCANGCATATCACACAGTGATGTTCAATGATTCAATGGCAGAACTCCTCATCTCATACAGCGTTGTGGAATTCCAAGACAAGAAGGAATTTCCCTGCAGTAGCGAACCGGATCATAGCTACGTGAAAGTAAGATTTCCCATTTTTGCAACTCCAACTTTCATTGCAATGAACATTTTCTGGATTGAGTGTCCAAAATGTTATAGTAATGAAAATGAAGTGCACTTCAGCTGCTTAATTCTCAAGAGCAGCATAATGTGACATATGGCTACAAGGACACTCCAACTTCCATTGCAATGAACATTTTCTGGATTGAGTGTCCAAAATGTTATAGTAATGAAAATGAAGTGCACTTCAGCTGCTTAATTCTCAAGAGCAGCATAATGTGACATATGGCTACAAGGACACGGCTCATTCACTTCTAACGTCACACTGAATTAAGTGGAATACTCAATTACGGTAAGCACCACGGTTTCTGGCCGGCCAGTGAGACTTATATGAAGCAAAATTTGTTAATCTGGCCATTTTGAAGCATTCCATCAACATATTCCAGTATGAGGACCTGTTAATAGTGTTTCCCTGTGTGCGCACAGGGTTCCCACTTTCTATGGGTGTCACATCAGCGTGACCAAAAACTGGAGTGTTTATCCTATGTTCATGCAACTTGGAGAATGCGGCGCGAGACAAGAGATACCCTTTGTCACAAAACCCAAAGAATGTTAGGAAAACATTCGACACACCTCCCTAAGTGTTTCTAGATGCTTGGAAGCGGGTTCAGTTGAAATCTGAGCCTAATGTCCCCTACCGTAGCCAACCCTCTACCAAAAATGATACAATATCGTCTTCATTAGTTTGAAATGCATCGCGCCAGGAGATATTTCTATGTTCCATGGGTAATACCCACATTATATTTTTCAGTGCATGGAGGAATGTTTCTTCGAGAAGCTACTTGCCGATAATGAAACCACATGCGTCATTGAAATCCTTCTTCCACCCTGGAAGAATCTGACGACATCGAAACAACATTGCACATTCGACAGAGAGGAACGTTTCATCAAAGGATTTTCCAATGGAAGTGCCGGTTATTATGAGGGCTGCGAGTGCAAGAGGCGTTGCAAGGTTAAGAAGTACTCAATCGCATTTCACGCCACACCAGCTTGTGAGAGCTTGGACGATCCAACGTTGTTCTTCACCGTCATCTCCAAACAGGTGCGTTGTGGCCTGGCCTGAGTCTTCAAGAAATCGAATTAGTATAAAAGCTTCCGTAGACATAGCCGAAGGTATTCGTGCAGATATTGGAATTGATTTTCGCGATGAGGATTTCCCCACAGGACCTTATATTTACTCAAAGCACGAGGATGCAACCAGTCAGCATCGAGACAAGCACATATCTATTTACATGAGCAATTTCATTTTAAAGCGTTCAAGGTAACGTCTCCACTAAATGATGACAATGCTCTTCTTCATGTGCCTTATTGGATTTTGTTTCAATTGCATTTTAGGTTAATTGGAAATGGACTACACATTTTTCTGATTCTGTGTGATTGGATGGATCAATGAGATTCCTTTGGTAGATCGAGATCTTCATGGAGCAGCCAGCCATGTCCTTCCTGGAATTCATTTCAAATGTTGGAGGCATAGTGGGGATGTTTCTGGGAATCTCTGTTCTCAGCGTTTATGACATCATTGAACGAAGCTCCCTAAGGATCTACAAACGCCTAGCGAAACGCTAAGTTCTTTTGTCACTGTACGGATAAATTCTCTAATGGATCGAGTTATGATATCCAATTAATGAAACAATAAGCCTTAAGCTACTAGTATATCAGGCACAAATAGTCATATATTTGGTGGAGAATAGCACTGAAAGCTTGAATTTGAAATGTTCTGAAAGAAAGTTTATTTGTATTATTCCCTGGAAAAGTGAAATGAACTTGATTATTTGCTGGATTTGAAATTAACACAAAAACATACATTTCCATGGTTGTACCGATAATCACATATAGCTAGTGGGCCAATGGTCGATTTTTAAATCATAATCTTCAATCGGTGCCGATGTCGACTGTGGTCTGTAGAGTGAGAAAACATGAAATCGCATACTAATTAAAATATGCCTATTTGATACTTCTATGATACTCACCAGTGGTTTCCTTAAGGCGATGAAGGCCACTTTTATGCTTGTCCAGCCGGTCGGTGCATGTGTTTGCTTCTTGCCTATTGTCGCCCTTTTGACATTTGTTTGCTATTTTTTCCCTAAAACTCGGCACAGGCAGCGGCAGCCAGCAACCCTGCCTGTGGCCGATGGTGCAATAACGGCGTCCGATACCGGTGGTTTCCATGCATCCGCACAGCCCTAAATATTTCCTCTCTTTCACCCACTATTCCTATCATGCACTGGCTTACCACACTCATTTTTGCGATTGCCGATGCACATTATGCTAACATGATTGATGACAATGTATCTTGAACTTGGTCATTTGGCACTCTATTATTTTTAAAAGTATTTAAATTGGGCAGATTTGAGAAAATAATAATTATCACACGATATATCTTTGGCATGTGTGACATGGGTGAAATACTTGGATGTATCAACATTACATGAATGTTCATTTTCTCTCCATGTTAGATATTCCAATTTGCACTGCTATATTCATGCTACAATATTGATGTTTTGACATTGACAATGTTGATCGATGTGCAAGAACATATATCGCCATATTGAGTCATCATTTCCTAAATGTGGAAATGAGACAGGTCTCATTTCCACGTCCCAAAATACCGTCTTTATGCGCCTATTGATTATTGAAGTATCCCAATATTTTGAGCTGTACTACCGAAAGTGTTTTATTTTTGCATGAAGACAAAAGTGGTCTTACTGAGTCACAACATGTGAACTTCGTGGTATTTTTTTCCTGGGTCAGGATTACCCTGTGTCTAATTGGGTTGGATGAGCTCTTTCGTTGAATATATATCTAGGAATTCAAATACCTTCCCAGGCTTCCTTTGAAGAGAAATTACTTCGTACCATTTTAAAAGTACTGGGGACGTATGCCGGTTACATATTTGAAGAACTCCCTGTGTTGCCTCTTTGTTACCATCTCACTTCGAGGTCAGGAAGCCTTCTTTGTTCGAATGTTTAGCGAGATGTCATGACATATGACATGTCATGACGAGGTGACATATGACATGTCATGACGAGGTGACATATGTCGAAGTAATGTTGACCGGATCATGTTCCTGCAATGCTAAAATATTCGAAATCGTTTACTATCTATTAAATCACCATCAACAACATCTCAACACTGAGTCAATACTGTTGCGCTGACAGGGGAGCTACTATAAGCAATCGTGCATCTTTTTCCCCGGATTTGAATACGTTTTAAGTCCCAGATCACATGATTTCAGGAGTTATATTTGCTCTGGGAAACTATTCACAATGCACCGCATTGCACGCCTTCCTTCATCACAAAAGCGCATTGTATTCTATTTCAAAATACGTCAACATAGATATAAATGAAAGATGCTCTCATTGGGATTGATTGCAACAATGTATTGTGTATCCATTGTAAGAAAAAATGTATACCTTGACTTTGCAACTACTCGTGTACTGGATTTTAGTTTTTTACACTGGTCGTTTCAATGGAACAACAGGAATTCATCCAAAACGTCCCCAAGTAATTGAACATCTTGGGAATCACACCTAAGCATTATATATTTCTTGAAATCAGCGCCCAATAACTAATTATGTGTCCAATTTCGTAATTTCTGTATCCAATGGCTGTTTCAATTCCTCCTATGATAAATTCCGGAAAAATACATACTCCGAATATTTTGTTCTCAAGGGATGAGCACTAAAAATACTTTTATCTTGTCACCGCCACAACACTCGATTACAGGGCTTCACTTCGTATGAACACGCTTGGAATTAGTCTGGATCACAAGGTGAGGATCATAGACTGACTCATCTTCACATCAATATGTTAATTGCACCTCCTATGAGACTTCGGAACAGTTTGCAGTGTTCCTTTATTCTGCACCACCGGTTTATTTTGCTATAAGTTGAGAAAAACATGTCCATCAAAATTCTGGGGTGGAAAGTTTCATAATTCTAAGCAGAATCGGATAGATGTTACATTTCCCTGTTGCAATGTATCCTCGGGACTTTACAATACTGTACTCACAATACCTTATGTAGTACGTTCTTCGTTGCACGATATGCCGGTGTTTATAGACATAATATTATCAAGGAATGGTGTTTACTATGGCATTATGCATGATTTTCGTCGATGCTTCAGTGATTCAATTACATGAGTCATGAATGTCAGTGCCAAAAGAAAACGATTTTAATGGATTTCGTGATGAATTATATTTTAACAACTCGACAACCACCAGAGGGTCTTTGCTTCGATTGACGATATACAGCAATACATACATATGTAATATATCCATTTCACAAGGAGATGGTTTCGGTAATGCGAATGCTCAGATGTGGATTTCGGAATGTGAATATAAACATTTTGGCACAAAGATGATCACAATTGCTTCCATGATTTCCAGATTGTCATGTAAAACTAATAATTTGCATACGATGTTGCGAGATGTTTTTTGATGAGCATAAAACAGTCACTTTGGGCGAGTTTGAAGTGAGCCTGATTCCCTTCATTATACCGTCATTTCACATTGATATAAGTACATTATGTAGCACGACACCCATTACATTAAAAAATAATTTCAATCCTATACCATAAATGGCCCACTTGAAATAACGATCTTCATTTTTTCCTTCACGGAAACATACATAATTAGAAGACTTTCATACCTTTGAAGGATTGTCAAGGCACTAACGAATTGGCAGTAAATTCTTGTCATTAATAAAATAAGTATTCCATCGCTGCCGTTAAATATTGGCATGGAGACCTGACAAGAAATAGTACTAACTTGAAAAATAAATTATTCGGTTGAAATCCTTATTTCTGTGTCGGAACTACAATACTGAATTTTATGTTAGCTAGACGTTAATCGACATCCAGGATCTTCAATGTTTTATAAGTTAAAAAGTTGAAGGCACTTCCCAGCATCAGTTGCTGCATACAAACAGAGAATGTGTATATTTTTTCAAGTCCGTTGTGGATTGCTGGGAATAGAAAAGATGTATACATATTTGAGGGGTTTGCATGGAAACCTTGATATTATAATGCGCATGTAATTTGTTGCGAAAAATGGTTCTTCGTCATTTGCTGAATGACTTTTCACCAAAACTGAAAATGCATATTTGAACATTATTGATTTTCATAGATGAAAAAACTGTTTCTCCGATGACTAGATAGCCACATCATAAGAAAGTGAAGTCACTGTGTAGGAACCCGCTGATTCTTTAAGCCATAAACTTTGAAATATTGTTGCCAGAAGTCATCCATGAGTTTTCTGGATGTTCTCATCGTGTAGGCAAAAGAAGAGCATTTCCCCCAAAGTGTGAAAACACTTCCCCATCGCTCCAGGTAACAAGCGTACGTCTACGATAAAACGAGACGATAAAAGAACATACTCGCAAATGAATGCCAGTCCGAGCCTCTCAAGGACCTGGCATCACTTGAGATATGAATAAAACGTGAGCGTTTAATGAACTCTCCAACTATGTGAATGGGGGAAAATAAAGAATTCAGGGGCGTCTATAATTTGTCTTGAGAACGGGAGGGCTTTCCATCCACGCCATTCGTAACATAATTACTGACGTGCAGCAATCCACGCAACTTTTCCTCATGCTCTTCCTCGTCACTGTACCACGGACATTTCTATTTATAAAAAAAACTCAGGAATGAGGGCTCAAAACTGAAGGTTTCAAGGGCTCGGACACGAAGAGCCAGTGGTATAGTCATAACTGGAAATTCCTTAAGTTCAGTCGGATCCTGTTTCCGCATGAATATATATTTTCTTCGGAATAGTTCATGAAACAGAGTATATCCTGAAAAAAGGAGACAACTCCTGGTTATTGGGATTTGAGAAATCGAGAAACCGATGCACATAGTGAAATGTCTTGACTTCGTGGTTTTACTGTTGATTCAGTCGTTTCGTGAGACAATCATCCATTTGCCAACAGTACATATCAATAAACGCGAATACATCCTTCCAGAAAGGTTATTCTTGTCCAACATCACCGCACGCCTTTTGGAAAAAATATTGCATGTCATTAGAGAAAATGAACGCTTCATCATTATTCCCTGAGCAATTTCAAAAGTATTGATTCGATGTTAATTGAAGTAATGGCTTTGGAATTGGATATTGAATTGGATATTGGATATTGTGAGATTGGGTCATTATGTCAGAATAACCTGTAATAATCGCTCATCAAGGATTTCCAGAAGGATGCTGAGCTTGCCACGAGTGCTCAGCTTTGAAAATGCACAATATGTATTTGGGAGATTTCCCAAGATGGGAATAGGACAATGGAATTTTCTTTGATATTTTTATAATTTTTATATTTCATACGGAGTATTTTTTATGTGCATAGTTTTCGGTGTTATTATTGTCAAAGCTTCGAACCGGTAAATACAATTTTAAAGGTGTTTCATAATTGTTTCCGTAGTTGTAACCTGTGAAGAACGTAGTTGAGAATTCGTACTCAATTGTAGATGACGCGACGTCAGGGGGACACTCGAAAAGTGTCAAATGCTCTCCCACGACTCGGATCGTCCGGAAGTAAGTTTTTGTCCAGCTAAAATAAGAAAAAGCCTCTCTTCCCGGAGCTGATCATCAACTATTGGAGAGCTTAATGCCGTTTAGTTTCATTTTGTTGTCGTACGAAATCATCTCTGGAAATCCATTTTTATACGAAGTTCACTTGTGACAGAAATGGAAATCATAAATATTAACGAAGGATTGATAATGCCGGCATCTGGCAACCAACGACTCAAATAGATCGAAGGCATTAGAACTAATTTAGGTATCCGCCATTTTTGCTGTATTTAATTCCGAATCGTTCATTGTTTCAATGATGCACTAATAGACTTCCAGAAGTGAACATGAGACAATGCAACAAATCTTAAACGCAATAGCGGAACCTTTTCATACCTTACAAGGTATTCAAAGGGAAATAGTGGTCCAATTGGAATCATGCATAATTCGGACTTGATGGATACTTTCATAGGGACTACTTATTGGAGATTACGGTAACGGTTTTTTAAAAGCACTCTTTAGTCATATAAGCTCCTATTAAGATGAGTACGAAGTATCAGCCCCTTCCGTTCCAGATGTTTGCCTGATAAGTAGTCTGGCTTATGTGCATGACAAATGCTGTCAATCCCGGATGTTCGGGCATCGAGTCCAATCCGCTCATATGTGCTCGGCCTGCCATTTTATAGTGACGGAATTTCTGATGAAAAAAGGAGAGCAATAAAGAATGCTTTCACATTGCTGACTCAGACTTCCTCATTCCATGATTTCAACTTGGCCCAGTCTATGGATGAAAACCTGGATTTCACCTGAGTTGGAAATCTATTATGTCGCTAGAATTTATATTTGCTATATGTGAAGCGATATCCTGGAAATGCATGGTGTTGGAAGTCAAACAACGGATGTTAATTCCAAAATTGGGAAATTTACTTTTTTCGCTCTGAAGGTAGGAAATATGCGCAATCTCGTTAGGTAGCAGCAACAAATGCGATGTCTATTTTCTTATGGAAAACGAGGGTCTGCAGGAAACAGTGAAAATGCTAGTCTCTGAAAGAAATAAGATTGACTGAAGTTGCTAAGTAAAAATTGAATGAGTTCACATGCTTACAAGCCCTTTGTGGACAGCTGTGCAGTTGAGAGAGCAAAAATATAATTGGAAACCGCCCATGGGGTTTCTCCGTCTTCCCCCTAGATGGTCGAGCGCACTGCCTGGTTGGTCATTAATACGGAATGATCCCTTTGTGGACTGCTGAAACGGGAGTAAGGGACAAATACGAGCGATGAGTTTCATTTCAGTATTCTGGATCCATAAGTCAACGTTAACGAGATTTCCCAGAAATTCAGCATCTGAAGAGCTCCATGAGTGCTGATAACGTAGGGAATAAAAAATATCAAAGATAATAATCGTCACTCTGCGTCGATTCGGTTTCTGGCCGGTGTCTGCGTTGCCACCGAGAGGGCTCCGTTTCGTCGTCGCTGACATCCGTGGCGTCCTCGGACCTGTAGGTGTCATCGTGAGGTGCCACATCCTCCCCGTCGACCTCTTCGGAGTTGAAGAGACGGTGCACGAGGAAGATAGAAAGAAGGAGAAAGACGAGCGCGACCACAGACATCCCAACGATCATTGGGATGTTGAAAACAAAGGCAGGGTTCTGTCCTTGGATCCCATGGGCGTTCATTCCGGCACTGTTGATTGACAGATCGACGAAGCCGAAGGGGGGCTGCTGGGAATTCGTATTCACTAGCTCTTGTATCCTCGGCACTGGGCGAATAAAAAAAACTCACATCCAAATTTACTAATAACATTAACAATTGAAAAAGTACCAGCATAACATTCAATGCTTCCGATTTCAACAATATCAGCCATAAAAATGAAGAATATTGGCCTAGCACTATTTTTGTCTTAATAAAGTTATTTAAATATATAAACTAAAGGAACAGGTAGAGTCAAATTCGTTCTCTCGTTAGAATATTGTTTCTATTATTTAAGCTCGAAGAGACAATTTCTACCTCAGCAGTCGCTTTTAGAGCTAATGCTAAACTTGATACGTCATAAAAGGAGATCTCAAGGCAGTCGGGAAAGCTCGGCGAAATCGATTCATCAATTTTTTAAATAGAAAAAAATATGATTTACTTAGGTAAGTAGCACCGGAACGTTGAATGAATGTTCAAAGAACGTTTCATTTCATGTGTTGCCTACGCTCCATGGACATCCTCGGAAACGTTCCTTGAATGTTCAAATGTCTGAAATTGAGAGCGATCCCAAACATTTCTAATTATGAATTCATCCAGGGCCTAAATTGAACATTCCCAAAAACCATCAAAGGATCTCTTTCGTTCCAAGTAAACTCTGCTCCTGTGATTGGGGTCGCAGGCGATCGCATGCCCAACTATTGTAATCGGAAGTACAACCGTTTCTCATTTGGGAATGATAGTATCCCTATCTTACTGTAGAGTGCGAGCGAGAATCCTTCTTGAAGCATAGATACCCCTCCGATAAGTGTCTCGTATGAGGAGTTCCTCCTCTGCGCCAGAAATGCGTGAGGGATAAAGAGATAGAGAACGGAAAATCGTTATTTCTCTCCATAGCAGAAATTAATTATTTTGGTACCGCTCTGCCGCTTTTTCTGCCCTTCCAAAAGTGCTGTGGGCATATTTTTGTCATTTAACAATAACAACCCAACCCACGTGATGGAAGAAACCTTATGAAAAACCGTGGCCGAAAAATCAGGCACAAGTTACTCTCCGCGCGCTCCTTTGTTGAGGAGCGATGATATGTACGAGGGATTTCTCAAAAGTTCTGCCAGTAGCCCACAAGTCGTCATCGGAGGCGGCCGCAAAGTGGTACTTTGGGGCTACTGGCAGAACTTTTGAGAAAAACTTCGTATTATCTTTCTTTAAGGGATCCTTTTCAAATCCTCATGAAATCAACTTGCAAATTGAACCGTCTTTTCTTCCCTCCTAGGGGCCAGAGTTTCATGCTGATTCCTTGGACAGGGATACCTTGTCAGACCGATATGTTAAAGAATTCGAATGCCTTCCCATGTGATGTATTTGTGGGGGATCGGGAACCTCAAAGGAAAGTATTGCAGGCTAATTTCAGTTGTATGAACTACTGACTTGCAATAGCGAGAAAGTTGGCGTCATCTAGCGTCGCTTATGTTAACCTACGTTTGTTTCCCGCCAGTATCAGATGGAGAGCACAGTTGTGCTGAAAGAGCGCGCCACTTTTACGTTCAAGGAACGTTCTTCAAGAACATGATGCATTGGTGATCAAACAGCACCTTAATTGAGCGTCCAAGACCTACTCGTCCCTGAAGCTTGATCTTTAAAGAACCTCTTTCAGCCGGGGTTGAAAGTCCTCTTCAACGTTCATGTGTTACTTAGTACTTAGGTATTGCACTACTATCATGAAAATTATGAAGACGATGAGCTCTTTTATAGTTTATGTTACCACTTTGTCCTATTACTCGTAAAACGGCAAAACCCTCTTGTTTTCCTCCTCTTGTATTCATTTAAGTTAGTCTAATGAGAAAATTAGACACATTCAATATTGAGATTCCCTCTTCACTTTAAAGAGGTAGAGGGAAAATGATTTTTCGTATTGTCCACTGAAAAGGAGATACCATATACTGTAAGTGAAACATCTCTTTCATCACTCACCAACATTGCAATCCTCAACCATCTTATGCGTCCAATTCCCCGCGAAGCAGTCATCGGCCGCACATTCGCACCAACACAGGGACTTGTCGCTTTGCTGCACGAGGAAGCAGCGACTTTGGTTGGGGTTCAAATCCTCAGCCCCGTAGAGGCAGTCTCGCTTTACCAAGGTCCCGTTCCGTTCATAGACGGCGAGGCAGTTGCTGTTGCTGGAGTTCCGTAGGCAATACAGATCCAGCTGGTCCGGCCAACAGTGCAATGCCTGAAGGTAGAATCTCTTGCATTGCTCGGGGACTTTGCTTTCGGCATTACAGGACCAACCTCTACACCGGCAACGGCAGTGTTTCTGGGAGCCAACCGAGTCCTTCGAAAATACCACACATAACAGTTATTTTTGTCCTTTGTCTTTCCCGCATCCCCAAATGATTAAATTCTCTACGCACACAAATATTGTTTTAGCGATTCGAAACGTCGTTTTTAGTTACAGTGTCAAATATTGGGAATTGAAAAATATGTTCCACAAAGCTACTTCAAATTCTGCAGAATTGCCCCCAAGCATATGTTAGCAAAACTATAATAAAAAAGTTGCTTTCCACAAAATGAGGCATAAGTAGAAACCCGTCACTAGACCTGCCAGCATGTGATGCCTTCGTTTATACTCTGGTCCCAATAGGAGCAGTACTTATCAATGAGTTTCCCGAAGCTGTCCCAGGTGGAGACGCAGGCGGAATGGGGCCCCCGAGGTCCCATCGGGCATTGCTTCTCTTCACTGTCCGAGCCATTGCAGCCATGCCGGCAAACGTGGCAGACGTAGTTCAACATCCTGAGAAGAGGAACTTGCAACTGGAATTTCGTTTAGGCTCCGATTGCATTATTGCTTCTTGGGTAAGGATGGTGAGTCATTCAGGGAGTGATTTAGTTGCTTTTCGTGTAAAATGGGGACATCATGACTACTTATGGTTAATTTCTGCAAAGTGTAGCTACTTACGTGTGCCACTTTTCATTGGAGGTTTGTCCTTTTTTGTAAGCAATAATTATGTTCACGTAGTGATTTCTAAGGTGAAACGAGTAAATCTCTCAGACACGCAAGGTGTACTGCAGAACCTTTGATACAATTCTTTGAGGAATTGGACATGACAGACGCTAAGATAATTTGCACTCAAAGGAAAACAAGCCTTTCATCTAAACCGCAGGTTGAAACTAGCTCGTATGCAATTATGTACGCTTCCATGAATGTAAATTTCATGGAGGCAATGCAGGTTTGTGTCTAATGTTCGTTTTTTCTGGGGGAGGGGGGGAGGAATAGATTGGAGAACGTCGAGTTCGTTATAGCACTCACCATTACGGGAAATCATTTTTCATGCATATTAGTTACGAAGGAAAGGAAATTTAATGGGTAAGGCAGGGTAAGTCTCGCGGAAGTCCTTGGTTTCAGGATGCATAGGCCTCTCGTAGCTGGTTCTGTACAGGCACACATGAATCAATACGCTGGAAAATACTCACATCCGGAGATAAGGGGTGGAGTATACGATTTGTTTGCGTGATGTAAATAATCTCGCTCTTCTCTTAGTCCCAGTGGGCAAACTTACAAAGGCTCCTGGATGGAATCTATGCATACGGAACTGGAAATAAGTTGTCATTGATCGCAACGAAGGCGGATGTCGGGTTTATTTATTTTCTGCGCATTCTAAAGAAAGTGAAAACGATAAAATATTGGGAAACCAACTAAATGGATTGCAACATATCCTTAATTCGGATTTATGTTTGTTTGGTTTCTTGTATCTTGGCTGCCATGACTGGAAGCTTGTCCAGATGAAGAAAGTGAAGGTAATCCGGAAGAACATAGAGATTGATATCGATATAACATAGATATTGCTGGGAAGCATAAAAGAATAACTAGTTCTAAGTAAGAGCCATAATACTAGTACAATACACATTAGCTAGAATTTAAAATATTTGTTGAACAGGGCGCATATGACAGACAAGTGTAATTATTATTATTATTTAGCGAATGGAAATCAAGAGTGCGTTTCCAACGGAAAACAAACAATTGGTAAACAAATACATCGGAATTATTTCAGGGGCTTAGCGATGGAGCCCATGTAATTGATGGCATGCCATTCATGAATTCAGCATCATGTAGCAATGCAAATAAGTGACTGAAAGATTTGAGGAACGTAGTATGCCATTTCTAAGTTTCATGAGTATTTTTCGACAACTTGAACAACATTTATTTGACAGTTTTGCAGATAGAACTTCAGTTAAATTTCTCTTCATGCTAAAGCCCAAATGCATATCCTATAGCTCATGTCTAATGCAGAGTAACTTCGGCACGATTGACTCTCCTTCTTTGTAATTAGACTGGGAGGAAGTTGCAGTCCGAGAGATAGGGAGGAAGCATGCAAGTTGGAGCATCGGAGAAACCCGAATGATTCCCATCATTTGAGTGCTTATGCATTTGCTTCAGCTGATACTGGCCCTTAACGTTTGACGGGCAGAGAAGGATGTTTCATGCCACTTAACGAATTAATATGTAAAAATTCATTGTTGTGCTACCCAACTGTATTGATACATACGTATCCGAAAAGAGTAGAGAATAGAACATGAGCTGAGGCTCACATGCAACATCTCGCACCTTGGCCAGCTACCACAACAATCCCCAACTCCTTCATTGTATTTCAAGAAGAATACTGCAAATCTGGTCGCAATTTTATTTCCTTTTCCCACAGGTTTTGAGATGGCATTAGTCCTATGCCTTTCATAGGACGGAAGCGATTGAACACCCTACAGTTATGAAACTCTTGCATTAGGAGATATTGACCACCAAAGTACCGTAATCCACACTGAAATTGTGACTGTTTTGGGGGACTATGCTAATTCCTGTATTACAGTGAGAAGTTGGGCTGCTGAAATCGAATATGGCAGGTGAAAATCATATGAAGCATGTGACAGCATCTGCAGGAACGGATTCTAACTCATGCAGTTTAAAAAGCTGCTTCATGAGCATCATTTATGACTGCATGAGCTGTAGGTATAACTGTTCACAATAGGAACAGCCACCCTTCGAAAATATACTAATTCTCCATAAAGAGAGTCATGGAGATGTCGATTGTGTTGGGTGGAGCGCACAAGATGGGTGGGTATAACCATTTTTTTTTAACAGAATGACAATCAGGAGACAGGGCATTTCCAGGGAAGACCGAATATTATATGCATTAAAGAATAGAACCTTTGGGGATAAATCGATTGAGCCCGCATATTGGATCTGATGCTAGTAATGGACACTGCCTCATTCAGCAGTGGAGAAAAGTGTTTATGGTAATTGTAGAAGTCGTTACACATATACTCCTAAATCCAAAATGTATTAGGAATTTTATGGCAAATCGTTATCTATTACTTACCGGTCTACTTCGGGGGAACAAATGCCTCGCACGCCGCGAAAAAAGAACTTAAGCATCACAGGAAAACTGATTGGCCTCGACCTATTGAAAATTGTTTCGTCACGCTTGACTCTCCCTCCCTCGTCGAGATAAAGAGGAAGCATAGGAGCATTGCAATGCAGGCTTCGAAGTGTTATAATTTTTTTGCTAGCGCACATGCTTAAGCTCTTCATTTATCTTCGGCAGGAACGGATCCTGCTTCGCCTCATCCATAAAAAAACCAGCATATGCTTGCTCATATTTTCGTTTTTATTCACCTTAGGTTATGCGACATTCGTACATCGATTCATACGTACTTTCCAAGCAAAGTGGAAAAGGAAATGCTGAGATGAGAAAATTAACTGAGGCTTACAGGCAACATTCGTCTTTTCGGCCATTCAAGTTTTCTGTCTGCTTCACTTGAAAGGATCGGACGTTGATAACTCGACCTTTGTCTTCAGAGCCGTATCGTACCTGCTTTGGCAATGTCTTTCGATAGATCTCTACAAAAAAGGGAACAAGTGGAGTAGTTCACTAAACTGTCGATAGAACTGCTCGTATTGGATTAAGTAAAAATTCCCGACTTTTGCTCAAAACTAAAGTTCATTTCAAATAAATGGAGAACTGGAATATAGTGTTGCTTTATAATGAAAGTTTGTCAAGCAAGTACATAGTTTGAAGGTGCATACCATACCCTTTGGGATGGCACAAATCCATTTTTTAACTGAAATTACGCGGTTGCTTGCTTATACTTGAATGTCTAAAATGGGTAAGGGGGATGGGGTAGTATGGATCACGGGACACGATGGACTACGCCCTGCAGCACACTGATCATTATCATATTTGCATATTCTTAGATATTTCCAAAAGTCTGCGCGGTGTAACGGAAAATCCCCAGTTCTTTTAATTCTTGACAGTCATTAAATAATTTATTTTCTGGCCATTTCCCAAGAAAAATGACGTACATAACTTGACATCCACCTGATACTGCTCAAGGGCGAGATAGTTTTGCGAACCTCATAAATGGTATCTGAAAGCTACAGAAATCTCTTGCATGATAAGAAATGCGTGACAAAGAGTTATCATTCACCAACGGAGCTAGTTATTTTTGGAGAATGTGTAAATGCACCGGGACGATAAGCAAAACCGGAAGAAGCTAAACACATTCAATGAAATAAAGCCGTTGGAACGGCCATATTTCAGTGAATCGACGTTTTTCGCAAAATTTATATTGAATATCTCCGATCAGAAATCAGTACTTTTTAGCCTTTTGGTGAAATGCTGTGAAGTCCTAGAGATGTCGATGATGCCATATAGTATGGAAAAGACTCAAATATTGAACAGAAAGGGTTCATCGTGCCCCTCCAGTGGGACACAGGGGAACGGGAGCGGTCGTCTCACAATAGTGATTCTCATCAACCCCTCCTGATGTTGAGAATCACTATTGTGGAACGCCAAGGGGAAGCATAATTACATCAACTTGTAGGGATCACCGATTGAGACATTTATCAAGAAGCTTTGCATCTTGGCTGGAAGAGCAAAATACATGTTTTCCCTATACAATTTGTTTACATTGCGTTAAATAATCTTGCAGCTCCCTATTTTACTGTGTAATTTTTTTTCGAAAAGTGCGAAGCGTTTCGCGATGCACGAGGTATAGATCGCACTTCTCACCTGTGAGGAGGTTCAAAAAAGCAGCCCTAACATTTGTGTCATCAAAGGCAGACGTTTCGATGAAAAATAGGTTATTCTCCTTGGCGAAGGCCTTGGCTTCTTCTGTGGAGACAGCTCGCAGGTGCCGCAAATCCCTTTTGTTTCCGACCAGCATGATCGCGATGTTTCCACCAACAGCATCACGCAGTTCCTTCAGCCATATCTCAGCGTTTCTGTACGTGCTACTCCTGGTAATGTCATACACAAGTAGAGCGCCCACTGCTCCTCTATAATACCTGCATGAAAATAAAGTCGAAAGAACTGCAACTCTATATGATATGTGATGAAGAAAATATTGGTAACATTTTCAAACAAAATTCAAGGGACAAAGGAATAGTGACCTACACAGAGGAGTGCACAAGAATGTCCTACATGGATTAGGGAGAATATTTGAGGAATGTTTTCAACGGAGTGGTCATCCAAAGATTAGGCTACTTACGCAGGTATTATCGCTCGGTATCGCTCCTGTCCGCCTGTATCCCAAAGCTGGGCCTTTATTATCGTCCCATCAACCTGCACAAGGTAATAAACCCAATGCAAGTAAATGACATTGGCAGGATCCAGAATTGAGTCGAATTGTTTAGGTTCAAAGCCACAACTTTCAGAGGAGTCATTTTCATCTGCGCATACGAGGTATAGGGCCAATATCTCGTATTTGTACAAAGACCCATTAATAAGTTCCACTTCGTGCGTGAACACTTGGCATAACAGTTAGGTTTTAGTATTATCCCATTCGAGATGATTATGTTTAAAAAAAGTCAAAATGAAAAAGTTGGAAAAGCCAAAATGTCGCCAAGGATATTTTTTCTCTGACAAAATGTCTCTTCAAACAATAGTCGTTTGTAGCTTTTCTCCAAATACGGTAGAAGGCGCATGCGAAAATTCGTCGAAAACAGGTAGAATGCTGAATTTATCGGCCGCCATAACATATTAGGTGAGGCAATCCTTCACCAACATGCATGCCTAAGACGTACAGGATGACATACGGTTAAGATATTTGTCTCAGTCAGGTGGCACGGGAGTTGAAAGGCGCGCGTCCCCATCTTGCTCCTACTAGTTCCATGAGGCGGACGGTGCAAAGAGAGCGACGGGAAGAAATGTCAGCTCTGCCAGATATCATAGATCATCTTTTGAATCATTTTCTACCACCATCCTACATGCTGACTTCGTACAATGGTCGATAGTTGTTCAGTTATTGGTATATTCCCCGGACATTACTGTTCGTAATCCTTGAGAATATGCCGCATCTGTCCCTGGCAATCAGATACGCGCAGGACCTATCCGATTGCCACGGGAGAAATGGTAGAAATATCATGGAATCTGATGAAGTATGACGCCCCCCACGATATACGGGTTAAATCGATGTCTCGAGATAGCCTTGGCCACTTCTACCCATGTTTGTAAAGAGCTTGGAACACTGTAAGTCATTCTTGGATATCACATTCAATGCGTTAGTCCCAACTGATTGAAGAGCATCTGTGTCGCAGAATCAGCGGCATGTGGGAGGATGTCATCCCACGATGGGTTAGAAATACCAAATTACTTCCATGGTTCTGATTGATTGCGGCAGTTACTGCAGAGTAGCTCAGAAATGAAGGGTTTCTTAAACAGGGCTTTTTCTATGGCCTTTTACTGTATTTGTCAACGATGAATTCCTGCCTTTCCCCAAATCAGCTGTGCCACTCACAAGCAAACAAGAATTGGGACATCCAAAAACAGTAATGAAGAAACTTTGCAAGCCCTTCCTTAGCTTGTCTACAGTGACCGCTGGTAATCAATCAATACTACTGCAGTAACTTTGAATTTCTGACACTGACTTAAACTTTATCGAACAAGACTCAGGTCTATTCCTTCAATTAAGAAT